TCCTGAGAATATGTGCGAACAAAACGTTTTTGAGCGAGTGTACGATTGCACATTTCAACAATTCTTTTGTTCGTATTTGTATTTATTTTTTTCAAGAAGTTTTGTATCTTCTCCTTTAAATTCACTTTTAGCATCAATTCGAATTAAGTTGGACCAAGTAAGAAGACCTCTCTTATATATTCAAGCCAAGACTTTTGGAAAGGTTTTATCAGTAAGTGATTATGCGTCTGTATTGCGACATCAACAACCATTAAGCGTATTTGTAAGTATACCAACTTTATTGTAAATAAATAGATAAATAAAGCAGGTAAACATTGTTAGGTATACTTTTATTTATTTTTGCTATTGGTATGTAAATAAGTGGAGGGAGATTAATTCTTCATATTGGTTGTTTTTAAAGCCATTCTTCAGCATCTTTTTTAGACACTTTTACAACAGCTGAAAGCTATTTAACAGCGCACAGTGGGCCAGGTATATGGGAAGTGGTGGACAAAACCTAATTATTACCCAATTGGTCCACAAACCCATTTAGATATATAAATAATCATTATAAATAAAATAATATTTATTTTTAACAAGAATATTTTAATTTTTAATAAAAAAAAAGACATTTAATAGGCTTAGGTAGTAAAAAAATATTTTTTTCAATATAAACCTTTTTTAAAAATCAAACAACAAATTGTGTTTAGCTACAAAGAAAAAGAAGAAGGTGAAGCTGATTCCCTCAGCAAAGCCAAAACTTCACTGGGGTATTTTTTTAAACTCTTAGCATTTTTTTTATGACACTTTCTTAATGATGTTATGACAGGATCACTAGATACAAGTAGCCTGTTAACTAGGTCACGATTTGTGTCGATTCTGGAAGTCTTTCTACTAAAATCTTCCCTAAACTTTTTAAAATCCTTGTTACAGGCCTCTTGGGCCTCCTCTGAAATCAGTCCAATTGGCAAGTACTGTCTAGCAATGATGGCATGGCCATGAACTAAAATTTTGTGTACTGATTGTGCCATGTAATACCAGGAATACTTAGATATGTAAAGTTTAAGAGCAGTAATACAGAACTCTTTAAATTTGACAGTGTCAATTTCAAATCCAGATGATAAAGTGACTAGTATGATGTAAAAATAAAATAAAAGAGTTTCATCTACTTTCAAAATTTTGGCAGTTGATTGATAGTTTGCAAAGGCTCGTCGGGCAGTGTTACCATTATTACTGGTACCTACAAATTGTATATATGTGATAGTTAACCTGATGGTTTATATAAAAGTATTTATGTAATTTCACTTACCAGATCCTCCACTTTTTGGGAAATCCACAACTAGTCCCATTTGGTTCATAAATTCTGTCTGTATACGTTTCTTCACTTGCATAACATTTTCCTTATCTTCTATAGCTCTAGACTGTCACTTTTGAGTTTCTAGTTTATATCCAATATGCAATACCATCTCAAAAAACCTAATCCAGGCATGCAGGCTAGAAAGACCATATTTCAATTCTAAATTATTAGAATTGTCCAATTTCAGCATCATTTCTAAGTTATTCATGTTTTTTGGAGACACACCACACACAGAGCAACATTGAGTTGAGTTAGTCACATGAGACAGAATAGTTTAAATTTTGCCATCAATCATGGTCAGTTCAATAATACTTTTGACAACCAGTTCCTTTTCATTAAAATTAAAATTAAAAACACCACATTTTTTGATTTCAGATTCTAAATATTTTGCTTCTTCTATAACAATTGCTTTGCTTTCATTTTGAAAAGAAAATCTTTGGACGACAATATGCAGTAGATGATGGCTTTTCATTTCGCCATAATAGTACTTTTTTGTTATTTCAGAACCCACTGAGTTCTAGTGGTGCTAAGCAGGTAATGAACAGAGATTCTTCTTTTTTTAAGTTACGATCTCCAGTTTCCTCAATACTAATTTGCTTGTACATGCTTTGCCCAGTAGCCCCATCAAACCCAGCCTTGCAACGCAAAGTCAACCGGGTCAAACCATCTAGCATTGTGCTGATCACAGGAGCTTGCACCTCACAAAGTCTTTTTACTGTATGTTTTAATAATTCTTGTATTGGTACATGTGCTGAATAATCATCAACAAAGATGTTCTCTGGATAGCACTTAGCTTTGGACAATCTTATGTTGTTGTATGAAGGATATATATGGCAGTCACGTTCTTCAGCTCCATTTCTCATAAGTTGGTAGGTTGATTTTGACATGCCACCATCTATAATTAATGCCAGACCTTCATCAGGTGTATACTTTTTAAATTGACTAGAAGGTTCTGATATCTCAGCAACTTGATTGGCAGCCTCATAATTATACTCATTTCTTTATTTAAGCCTTGCTTAGTGGAGCAACTCATCACTAGAAAAATTATTTATAATATTATTAAGTCATCTCCTTTTGGTTTTGTCAGAAGCATCTTTAAAGGAACAACTTGGTCTTCCATCAATCTTATGTAATTGACTAGAATTATCAGGCTTAGATATATTATTACTGTATGTAGATTTAAAGTCCTGAGTCAACCAATTTTTATTTTTACTCTCAAACTTTATGTTTCCTCGGTTTTCATCCTTCCATTTCTTTTGATAAACTTTTAAAAATGCAGCACACCCAGTAGAACCCAAATTCATAGAGACTAAAATAGATTCTACAGACAAAGAAAATGATTTATCACTCGGATTTAGTTGGTCATGCCGTATACGGTTATGGACATCACTTATCTTCATATCAACTACAAAAAAATTAATTTAAAATTATTAGTGCAACCACTATAAACTAATATAACATGAATATGGCCATTATTTTTATTTCAGATATATTTAATTAGGCCAGTCAATAAGCACAACACCTAATAATGACAACAAACCAAAAAATAGGTTAGTCGCGAATAGCATTTTACAACAATATATATTTTTTAAATGTTTACCAAACCTAAAGGAGCAGCTATGAGCAGAATAAAACAGCACCAACAGGCTGTACATATATTGTATTAACTTATTCTACCATTAATATGCTGTTCCAGCAGGTTCTTAACTATATGAGCCACTTTTAACATAATATTTTTATACTATAAACAAGAATCTTACCTTTATATTTCAAAATAAAACTGTGACTTTAATACAAGACCTTGGAACTTGTTATGGTATTTTTTGAAAAGCTATCAAATTAAATTTTAATAATATGTCAATTAATTTCGCATATGTTAAATAATTTAAAAGTTATTTGTTGTTATAGTTATGTTGTTATGGTATATTAAAAAAAAAAAAATTAATTAATCATTATATTCAATTGTAAATAATAATTGTATATTTATGATGTACAATCAAACTACAAATAATGTTTTAAACCATACATTATGCTCTTATAAATATAATGTACTAAGTAGTTGGAAGTATTTCGAAATTTTTTTTTTGAGGTTTTGTCTACCACCTGGCCCACTGTGCAACGTTTGAAAAAAAATTATAGTGAAAGTTCCAGTCACAATTATTTTACTATATACAGTCAGATTTTTTTTCAAAGTTGCCGTTTTTCAGGATCTATAGACTGTTTATTAAAAATTATTTCGGGGTAAGTTTACCCCGAAATACCATTTACTATGGAAAAAAATGTATATTTTATATTGAAAAAATTTCTTCTTACAAAAAAATTTTAAAAATTTTAAAATTTTTTTTTTTTTTTTTAACAGATAAAAAGTAGGCTACTGTTTTGACTGTTATACGTACTAATATTTCGTACCAGATAAAAGTAATGTTGAATTATTGGCTTAAATTTGTTGCCAAAGTTAATAGTAAAAAAATTTCTATTAATTGTGCACTTAATAGTACATTAATAATCATTTTTGATTTGTGCAATTTATTTTTTTTTTTGGGGGGGGGGCTCGGAAAGGCCCCAAGAATTTTTTTTGTAAATAAATTTAAACTTTGTAAGTTACCCAAATTCATCTTCTTTGAGACTACACTTTAACTTTTTCGAAAAAATATGCTGTTAGGGCTACAGAGCTCATAGAATAAAAACCGAGTCATCTAGTCCCGGTCTCCCCTACAGCTAAAACCTGTATATCTAATAAATCATTAAAAGCACAACTCTGTTTTTATTTAAATGCAAGTTCATTGGATTTTAAATAAAAACATATGTAAGCTCATTGGACTTTAAATAAAACTATATGCATGCTCATTGGACAAAAAGTCAAACTATAAGCAAGCTCACATGACATTAAATAAAACTATAAATAGTTTGTAATATTCTAAATTACAAAGAACTTAGAGGAGATTAACAAAGTGTCGCAACAACGTCCGGCTAAAATATTTAGGTACTAGTCAAATATTTGTTCATAATATTTAGAATAAAGTTTAAAACTAACCTTCATCCAGCTACATGACATGTAGATGGATAGAGGAAAAGTCTTAAATTAAAAATATTTGAAAAATATAATAGATGTACAATTATTCAGGACAACCTTTTACCTCTCTAAAATATAGATGATAGAAAAACTCACTACAAATCAACCAAATTTGTAATATATAAAGAGAACTAAATAAATACACAACTAAATTGGATGTAAATTAAACAACAAGAGCAGAAAATGTAAAAATACAAAAAAAATATTAAAATATTCATTAGACAGTGATTTGAGAGAAACTGAAGCTGTTTAAAGATATTAGTAAAATGAAACAATGGAACAAATAAATAAAAGACTAAGTTAGTGAGAAAAAGAAAACTGTTGCCTTAGATATGTAAACAAGTTTTATTTGAGAATAAAAACTTTCAACAAAAGTTTAATTTTCTAGATCAATATTTTATTTCCGTGATTTTATAACTGACGCAGATTTATTAAACTTCTTATTAGCCGCATATTGCTTTACCCTCTGAGTGAAATACAAAATACAAAAAATACAAAAAATAAATAAAAATACAAAAAATAATTCACTTTAGCATTTTTTTACTTACTAAAATATAATCAAAATAAGTTTTTAAATAAAATAATACATACTTTAAAGTAGCACAAATATTTAATTCCCAAAATACTTGAAAATACTGTTAACAACGCTTCAACACACATAAAAATGTCAAAAATAACATAGAGTGTTTAGCATAATCCTTGACCTAAATTTCATAATAATTTAGCCATAACATCTTACAAAATATTTTTTTTTTAATATATAAATTTAAAAAAATAAATTTTTTATTTATGCTATAGTTATAGAATTGACGCTGTAACTCATAGGAATTGAAACTGAAATTACGTAGAACTTCAGTCTATAACAGCCAAAAAATTTAACAAGGATTAAAAACAATATACAAGACCTGAAATTTGAGGTTAAAATTTAAAGTATTTATTAATGTGGTTCCTAAATTGATTTACGTTTGTTACTCGATGCTTTCGACGATGTGTTTATGAAAAAAAAGTCACTAAAGTAAGTAGAAATTGTTTACATCTTGTATAAATAAAGATAGTTGAATAACAAGTAATGTTATATGAAGTAAAGCTAAAACCATAGTACGGCGAAATTATTGAGCCTTTCTCTAACAATTTTTTACGTACAGATTGGCCGAAAATACTTAAATCTTTTTTACATAAAGACTCTAAAATTATTAAATTTTTATTACTATAATCGGGTATGAAGTAAACTTTCCTTGGATTGTTTTTTCTAATATGAGTAATATGAAATTTTTTACAGTTAAACTAGATAAGCTATTTTTTTGATCATTCGAACGCCCTGATAAGTTCATCTTGAAGAGCTTGTCTAGAATTGTTGTTGTATATTTGATTGATGATTTTAGTATCACTAGAAAATAATATGGATGTATTAGTTAGATTTTTTGGTAAGTCATTGATATAGATGACACAAAAAGGACAACTAATAAATAAACTTGTGAAATACCAATAAAAAACTTGTTTATTTATGACTCTTTGTTTCTTTTTTCTTTGTTTCTAAGATTACGATAATTAATACCATAGTTTCTAAGATTACGATAATTGTTACCATAGTTTCTTAGTTTAAGCAAAAGTTTTTTGTGAACAGTGTTAAATGCTTTCGCAAACTCAAGGTAAATGATATCAGCAGAGTTATTTGTTTTCCATGCAAGCTGATAGAAGGTTGACAGTCTCTAACAAATTTGTTACAAATGATTTTCTAGGCAAGAATTCATGTTGTTGAACTCATATTAACCAGGTTAACCGTATTACTGATTCAAACAATCTAAAGTTAATTGACGACAGCAAAATAGATCTATCAAAATACTTTCTGGCATAAGTTCATAACCTTTTTTGAGATGTCTTTTTTAGAAGTGACATGTGCTTCTTTTCAATGACTTGATATTTTGCTGGAAGCTAAGGTTTTTTCAAAGATTAGTAAAATTGAATAGACTAGTAATGTCGAGCATTCTTTAAGAATTGCCGAGCATTCTTTAAGTGGTTACAGCGCTTGCTTTATAAGCAGGAGATCCAGGCTCAAAACAAGCTTCGGACATATTTTTGCGTCACGGTAAGGAAGGAGGCGTGAACTTCCTGGTTAAATGCACTTCTGCGGTGCTCTGTGACAAGACCGTTAGGTCTTCTTGGGGCACCTAAATAACAAAAAAAAAACTCTAGACTGAACCTTGTCACTGCTATAACTATCAATAGGTTTATTTATGTTGTTCAAAAATTCCAATATTTTATCATATTTAAACAATGTTTTACCTTCATTCATTGCTTTAAAAGTAGTTATATTTTTAACATCAATTTCAGGAATTTGATTTGTGACCTCTTTGACAAATACCAATTGAAATTAATAACATTACTTTTATTTTGAAGTGATTGGATACGATTGTTTGTATTTTGATATATAGATATAGAAACAATAGTCACTGTTTTGCTCTGGAAGCTAGGTTTTTATAAAATTCATTTTTGGCGTTCTTTGTCTCTCATTTAAGTAATTTTTTGTAGCACTTAATAATTATTAAGTTTGTCTTTTTGTTTTCAACCACTGGCACAATTGAAGCAAAAATAATTTTTCATTTTTTTATGAGGATTGGCATACATATTGTGTTTTAATTTTAGCTTTGTAAATTTATTTTTTATTAATTTAATAATTTAACTTTTTTTTTTTTTTTTTTGTTCTTATTACAATATACTATGGTATAAGTATCGTTGTACATTAAATATCAGAACACGGAGACTCAAAGAGGATCGTAAGATCCTGTCACTGAAAACGATGCTTCAGAGTTATCAACTTCGGGAGTTGTAATATTTATACTTACTCCAGCTAATCATGACCCTCATTAAATCTCTCAAAATGAACTTAATGATTTGGTTTGGGATTTAGAACTACTAAGAGCAAAATCTGAGCTATTAGGATCTATATTGCAACAGTGGGATCTACTTCAAGATGATGTTAGAATAATTGTATTTTGCAGCAGACCCAATTAGTTTGAACCGTATTTTTAATGGCAGAAAGAGTTTCCTATTGTCATAATGTGGAAGGTGTGATGGGTGAATTAAAGATTCAGTGTGCTAATAAAGAACAGAGACTGTTTGTAGACTTGTCAAAAATAAGTTTCAAGGCTGTACTCCTACACAATGGAAACACAGTTTCCATTGTGTAGGAGTACATCCTTATTCAAATCAGTTGCAGATTTGTGGTAACTATGTAAATCAAAAGTTGATAGCACTTATTCTAGGAACGTAGCTCAGTTAAACAAAGTTCTGATGCTTTCACTGTGAGTGGAGTAGTCGAGTGAGGGTGGCTCATTACATTAAACCGGAATGACTTAAAAGACAATCTTTAGAACCTGGTGTCAAGAGTGTTGTTTATGTAGCACTTGTTGAGCGCAGAAAAATTCTCCTGACAACACTATATATAAAACTCAGTCTGATGAAAAAAATTTTGAGTGCAGCATTTAAATATATGAATTCCAAGTTCCCTAATTTTAGCCTGGAGAAAATAAAATAAAAAATATTTTTAGGCGCACTAATGGTAGGCATTCAGTTTAAATTTGACGAACTTGGTGAATGCTTTTATCAGGATATAAATGATATGGAATAGCGGTACCAGGGTCAATGGAGCATATCAATGATGGTAGATTATTGATTGACAGTAGCATGAGAATGCTCAGAAGCTTTATACAAATTAATGTTTATTTTCCTTTACTTATTTTGTAAACAAAATCTTTTGTAGAAAAAAATAATAATTTCAATAATGTCAGGAGGAAAATTTAACTTTTGTTAAAATTTACAAATGATAAATGAAAGTATCAAATGATTTTCAAAATATAATTTATTCAGAGTTAAAAAATATACTTTATTTTTTAACAGAAAAAAGTTACAGATGTTTATAAAGATTGTTTTTCATAAAAATCAACCTCGATTTCAGCTTGTTATGGAAAATCGGAAAGAGAGTCAAAAACATCAAAAAAATACTTATTAGTCACAATTAAAATCAAAACCAATGTACTTTCTGAAAAAATAGTTCTTACACCAAAGATACAAATATAAATAAATATTAATCTGAAGTAAACATTTAAAAATAGTATTATTAAAGTATCATTAAAATTTTTAAATTTACCTTTTAATTTGCCTCTAATTATGCAATCCTTATTTCTTTGAATTTGATTTGTAAATACGCTGCGCATCCAAAATGCACAAGGTATGAAAAAAACATGTTCAAAATGACGAATGCAATCATCTAAAAAAAAGTCTCGAAATAATTAAAAAACCTTATTTTATTTAGATTTTTAAGGTTAAAGACCTGCAATTAAAAAACTTGTAAATCCTCATAAAAACTCGTAAAAAAGTTGGTCAAAAAAAAGTTTTTAGTAGTATTACATAGTACTTAAAATTCTTTAGTAAACTATAAGTTTAGTATAACTATTATCTTCTATTATGTTAATCAAAATCATAGCTATCTGTACTAACAGGCCTTGTAAACATGTGTATCGGCGTCTGGGGCGTCTTGTGTTAATAATTACAAACAAGTTTTTTTTTATTTAAAATATAATTTAACTATAAAGTTTTTATAGACAAATAAAATGGTTAAATATCGTTTTGTGACGAAAACTTTATTTGCAATAAAAAAAAAAAAAAAGAAAAAGAAAGAAAAAGATCGTTAGATTTCTTTTTTAAAAAAAGAAAAATATTTGTTGGGTGAACAAAATGCTATTTGTTGGGTGAACAAAATGCTATTTGTTGGGTGAACAAAATGCTATTTGTTAGGTGAACAAAATGCTATTTGTTGGGTGAACAAAATGCTATTTGTTGGGTGAACAAAATGCTATTTGTTGGGTGAACAAAATGCTATTTGTTGGGTGAACAAAATGCTATTTGTTGGGTGAACAAAATGCTATTTGTTGGGTGAACAAAATGCTATTTGTTGGGTGAACAAAATGCTATTTGTTGGGTGAATGCTATTACACGATTAAACACAGTTTATATAAAAATCAAGCTTGAAACCCACACTTTGAACCCCATTAAGAACATTTTTCAAAGCATCTTCATCTTTACCAAACTTAAAGCCTGACAATCTTGTTTTATTTGCTGTAAATGCTGTAACTTGTTACATCAGGACAAAATAAGGATATTGATTTTGATACAGATAGTATAATTTAGCGTTTTGCTGGCGAACAGTTGCTGATCGTTCAGTTAAAACTTTTCAATCGTCAGATGTTTAAGATCAAAAATGATCTTACTTTTGAAGCATAAAATTGAATAAAACTAAAAACAGAACTTAAATAGCCAGATCTTGCTCAAAATACAAGTAGCAAGTAGCAATTAATTTTTTAATAACTTAATAAAAAGCAGTGAAACAATAAATCTTATACAATAAATCCATGATAAGAGCTACAGTTGGAAAAAAGAAGAACTAGATACAGTTATAGTCTTAGCTCGTATCAAAGTTAAATACATAACTAAATTTTTGTTTTTTAAAAGTCATTCTGCAATCATTGAGTTAATGCAATGAGTCTGTTGTTTTTGGTTTGGAAAAAAAACATGCTATTTCAATTTCAAACAATATTTTAAAAAAACTGTCAACTTATATGCAACAAGGTCATCTGAAGATCCGCAAGAAAAGATTTTAAGGTTCTCAAAGTAAACGATCTTTTTTTAGCATTGTTTCTTTTTTTTTCCTTCGTTTTTGCAACTTTTGTGTTATTTATATTTTTGCTTGTTTTGAGAATTTGGTAAAATATTTAGCACTTTAATATATTGCAAAATAATTTTTTATAAGCTTTGTTACACTCTTGTTAAAAATTTTTTACAGTTTATGGTTTTATTAAAATTTAAACACTTTAAAATTTATCTATAAACTTTTATTTGTGGTCATCTCTGAATATGTGCTGATGTAAAAGTTTGTCAAAAGAGAGGGTTTATTCGCTTGTTTTTATTTTGCATGCTTGTTAATAATAAACAAGTTTTATTTATTAAGTAGCATAAAACCTACCTAAACTTATGCAATAAAACTTTTTTTTTTTTAAATACAAAACTGTGCATCAAAAAACTAATGCGGAAATGGCAAGCCTTGTGTTATGAACAAAAAAAACACTATAGTAAATAAAAACACTATAGTAAATAAAAACACTATAGTAAATAAAAACACTATAGTAAATAAAAACACTATAGTAAATTAAAACACTATAGTAAATAAAAACACGATAGATAAAGCGTTTAACAAAAGTAGGAATAGAATTATATTAAAAATGTTCGCTTCTGGCTGAAGTTAAATGATGAGATAACAGGTTTTCAGTTCAACGCCCTATCCGATAAAAAGTTAAGAGAACGTCATCTCAATTTTCCGCAACTAATAAATCTGTTCTTAGTCAGTATATGCAGTAGCGCGTTATGTGTAATGGAATTATCACCCATAAGATCTTTATATGTCTTTTATTTGGCATCCGCATATGCTATTCCTAAAAGAGTTACATTTTTCAATAAAAGTAAACAAATTGGCTGCATTATCAACACTACATGGTGCGTAAAAAAAGTAGACAAAATGTTGGCTGCATTAATGTATCAATACCTTTTAGTACAATTAGCAAAGTTTAATTAGCACTAAAATTTATAACAAAACACATTTTTTTTTTTTTTATAACTTTATTTAAAAATTAGCATTAAAATACAAACTAATGTAAAAGTTTGACTTTTTTTTCATTCTACAGCTGTATATACTAGTTTTTGTGAATTAAAAAAAATTAAATTTTAAATTAAACGCAAATTATCTCACGCTTGTTTTACATTAAACCAGCTTTTATCCAGTTTAGAAGATTGCCATTTATACCATATATTTCAAGCTTTTGCAGCAATCTTATATGCAAAACTTTATCAAACGCTTTGCGAAGTCAAGAAAAATTAGGTCGACTGGTTTTTTCTTTGATTTGTTAAAAGTCAAAAAGTCCATTGTTTCTAAATGACTTGTGATGCAAGTCTTTTTTGAAACGAAACCATGTCGAGTTTTGGAAAGCAATTTGTTATTTACCAAATGATTGATTATTACTTGTCTAACTATTTTTTCCATAAGTTTGCATGGAATAGAAGTGAACGATATGGGCCTGTAATTGGCTGGATCTGTTCTGCTACCATTTTTATAAATAGGTGTAACATTAGCTCTGAGCCACGATAGTGGAACTTTTCCTGATTTTATTGAAAGTTGAAAAATCAAAGTTAGCGAAACTGCCATTGGTGTGGCACATGTTTTTAAAACAAACGGATTAATGTTATCATCACCCATTGACTTATTTCCATCAAGCATATTTAGGCGTTTGAGAACAATGTTTTGGCCTCAAACACCTTTGTTTGCTTTTGTTATTCCATCACTGCTCATTTGGTTTGAATCTGAGATTAAGGCTGATATTTGATTGCTCACTATCTGTTTACTATTAATATATGCAAATAGTCTTTTTGGATTGTGCTTGTCGTTAGCTAGCTCTGACTCATAGAAACGTAATACTCGTTTGCTATTTTTTTTGACCTCATTTTTGACAGCTGTATACTCTGTGATGTGCGCTGCATTTTTCCACTTTGAGTTTGCATTTTTGAACCAGAGTTCTTTTTTTAGTCTAATTAGCTTCATTAACTTGTTTGTGATCCAGGGTTGCTTTTTTTTGGCAGTATTTTTTGATGCCTTTGGAATAAACTTATGGCATGCTTCATTATAGAGGTTAGACCATATGGAATAACATTTCTCAACATCATGATCCATAATTCTAGCTTGCCAATTTATGTTATTTATAAAAGTGTTTATTTCATCATATTTACCATATTTATAAAGGAATTTTTTGCTGTTAAAACTATTTTGATTACTACTGCTTAAATTGTGCTGCCAATATGCCCTTGAGAGGCTGTACCAAGACAAGGTCCTGTTAAAACTTTGTTGATTCTATCTTTTGATTCTGATATAATTAGATCAAGTTTGTTGCTAAGATTTCCATCAGTTTTTATAAAATTTGGACATTTGACATGCTGGTAGAGGTGGTTGTCACAGAGAGCATCATTGAACCTGTATTCAAGACTATTTTCATTGTCAGATGTGATTCTCCAGTCAGATTGCCAATTTATGCCTGGAAAGTTAAAGTCTCCTGTCACAATTAAGCCATTATATACTTTTCAATCAACTAAGTATCTAGCGTAACCAAGAGCACAAATTATTTCATTTATTTGCACTGAAGCAGTTGGTGAGTTCCTCTCAGGGCGATAAATACAACTAACTAAAAATTTTTCTGATGGTAACTTTATTTCAACCCAAAGTTGTTCAGATTCTTTGCATTTAAAGTTTTTATTTAGCTGCGAGTTGTCTAGTTTACATGCCATTATATCATTTTGAACATAAATTGCTACACTACCTCCGTAACTAATTCTATCCTTCCTAAATAGCATATAGTTATTGATTGATGGAGCAGAAGTAGAATTGAACCAAGTTTCAGTTATAAAAATTAGATCATATTTGTTTTGTTCAGCTAATAATTGGAGTTCAGTAATTTGTCTTTAATGAGTGAAGTTGCATTGGTGTTGAAGCAAGGGAGAGATTTTGATTTGTTCTGATGAAGATTGCTTTTGTTTGGTGCCGAAGTATTTGCTGATTGATTAGTTAATTGTTCAGACTGGAATGACATATGATAGTCCTGCAGCTGCCCAAGCTTCTTTCCAGTCACCAAACGGGTTTTTCTCAGTACTGTTAATATTGATTGTTTTTTGTGTGTTGATGCATTTGAGCCTCCCTCCTCGGATGACAAATCAAAAGGGTTGGTTGAGCGCATTATTTGTCTTTAGAGCGTCATTGTATTTTTTCCTATTTTTATTAAGCTTGTTAAAAGTATCAACCTCAGAAGGAGTTCGGTCTGGAATAATAAAAACTTTGTTCCTGTAACTGTCAAATTTTGGTAGATTTTTTGCAAAAGCTAGTATACTGTTCCTAGTTTCCACATCTTCAAATTGGACAATAATCGGTTGAGCAGTTGGTGAGTCTTTTTGAGCACTTATATTTGCTGGAAGCCTATGGACTATTTTGTGCGTTGAAACTGTTTTAATGGCCTCAATAACACCTTTTACAGCAGCTTTATCATCATCGTAACTTTTTGCGCAAGGAAGACCATAAATGACTATATGGGTTGCCTTAGTTGCTTACATCTTATTATTTTGTTCAGTAGCCTTTGCAATAGCCTTTGCTGCTATTGATTTGGGGTTAGCTACAACCTC